TTCCATCCACAGAATTCAATGTTTTGAATTAGCATGGGCATACATAGTATGTGGATGAAAATAAGTATCTCTGACTATAATGGCCATGCTTCATCTTATAGTGTTTTAGTAATTGGTACCTCATAGATACACCTTCAGAACACCTCCACATTCAGACTCTAAAAAAAGAGAGATGGAAGTGTCACTGATCAGCAATCATTTAAACACTCAAAACGTATTAATTTTAAATAACAGATAATAACTGATTTAAGAAGGAAAGAATACTTACAACTATATTTGAGACACTGGCTTTGCATTCGTCAGCTAAGACACTTGCTGACAAACCTGCAATCCAGACAGCTTATGGTTACCCTTGATCACAAAAATATTTTTCATGAAAAGACAAATGTTTACAGTGTTTAAGTGTTATTTAAATTACATTGGGACCCGATGACAGCCGCCGAAGCCAAAAGAAAGGCAGGGCCTTCGATCTGTATGGACGAGCTGCGAGTGGGGGATGGCAACAAGGTGGCAGAGCAACGAGCTGTCATTCCCTCTTGGCTCAGGTGCTCAGCTCGCCTTTTAAAAAGAGCAGAGAGGGAACAGAGAGAGAGAGAGGGACGAGCAGCAGCAACTGTGATGAAAGACTGAAGAGTGAGGAGCTGGAAAGCTTGAGTGTGAAAAGGACTGAAAAGTCTAGTGGAAGCCGCTGAAAAGTGGCCAGCTCAGCTAGGTTGTGGTTGTTCGGTTTTGTTTTGTCTATTTGGTTTGTGAATAAAAGTAAAATGGCTGCTGCAACCCTGAATCCTGCCTCCAGCGTCTTCCTTGAGCCCAGGTAGCACATGCCGTGCTACAACATGTTATCATTTGATGCCTGAAACTATATATTGGCGCCTGATTTTTTAGCTTAGAAGCCATTAGCTACATTAGCAATTTTTGTCTAATTCTGAGTCCAGAACGCTATGAAATTACACGGCCAAATGCAAAAACTGAAGTAACTCTTATCTGTTGTCACAAATGCAACGTTTTATAATGTATTATTAAGTAAAACTTTGCACTTACCAAATAAGCGATTGATCGTGGTGGATGAAAAACGAGACTTTCCTGAGGGCCCATTTTGCGTGATGGGGGTAAAAATTGTGCTTGTTAGCCTGATAATGACTGCACATGTGCGACATTGAAAGCGCATTGGGACAGTCTTTAGTCAGTTCAAGAGCAAGTGTGTTTAAAGTGAGCGGGTTACCTTGGTTTGAATCCGCAGTATTTTGTAGACTTGAATTGTCATACTATTATTTTAGTGCATTGAAACTTGATTATTTTTGACTGTAAAAATTAAATATTATTCGTAATTTCACCATAAACAATTACATAATGCAAACAATATCAGTGTTTAATTTCTGATCAGATTATTAAGTGTATGTAAATGCATGTAATAATTCACCAATGCTCTTTGAGGCAATTGGCAATGTGTTGAAAGTCTCCAAACTTTCACCATGGACCCTTGCCATAGAAAGTTCCATATTATTAATAACCAAAAAGATGAGGATCTGTTGCTGCCAGCACAGATAGTGCAGAGGTTGCCTACGTAAAGCTGACATTTTTTTCTAGCTGCATGACCAGCCAACTAGATTCACTTTTCAGCACAAGCAAATCTGATGAAAACACTGCTGGACAGTGCTGGAACGTCTAATAACACACCTCTGGGTGAGTAGGAGAATTAGCATTAGCATAATTAGCATCAGGATAAGGTGCTCTAGATTGTACAGTTACATTAGAAATTCCTGCTGACAGAGTATATAGTTTGTCCAGGGGGAGGAGTCTAATGTTAAACACGATAAAAGAAGACTGTCACCTCATGAGAGCATTCTTTTTGTCAGACAAGTCATGTTTTATTTAAGGAGAAAACACAGGATGCCCCAAGTTCAGTTGTATCACTCTTATTGTGAGGATGGGACACATCCAGGATAAGCCCTCAATTGAAACCCTGGATGATGGCTTTTTAAATGCAAGAATTGCTGCATCTTGTAATTTAGGAAAAATAAGGATGTTCTGATAACGCTTCAATAAGGAGGGGCATTATAATACCTTTATAATTCTGTAATAAAACCTTAACAAACCAGTAGTTGATGTTTAGCTGGTTTGATTGAGTCTTATCAAGCCATTACTTGGTAATTAATAATTAATTAGCCATCATTTGCTTATAAACATTGAAATGCACATTCGAACAAAGACTGATTGACAGGCTTATGATTTATAATTATGACATAATCATGGAGAATACATGTGACTACAAATGACAAATCTTTAATTTTCGTCCATCTCTGACTTGGATAAATGAAAGTGCTGTGGTAATTTTTTTTTATTCACTGTAATTACTGCATAATTATGTAGTTATAAGCAGCCAAACTCATAACAACTGCTAGCTTGGTAAGGCTTAAATATGCTCAAATGTTCAAAAGTTTAAAACACTATAGTTACTGCATAAAAATATAGTAATAAATACCAATGGCTTACTAATGGCACAAATTACCAAGTACTGGCTCATTAAAGCTTAATTAACATATTAAAAGGGCTTTATAATGCCCCCCTACTGAAGTGTTACTGATGCGCTTCTTAAAGGGTGTGTTGGTGCATTTAATTGACAAGTAAGTAAACATGAGACAGCGACTGACAGAAGATGAAAGAGCATATTTATAAAATAAACACATATATAAAAGAAAAAACAACAACAACAACAGTGCCATTCATTTGCTTGAAAACAGCTCAAACTAGCTTTTCCTCCATTGGTGGATGAGTGAGTGACTATGCTCTTAAGAAAAGATGGTTCTTCTTTAAAAGGAATGAGTCTATTTAGAACCATGAGTTCTACGCAGAACCATTTTATGCTTAAATCGTTCTTTGCCTGCTGAAAATCATTTTTTAGACTGATGAAGAAAGTTAATCTTAAAAAATAAATCTTTAAAAAATGGTGCTCTAGTGTTTTTTAGTAAAGAAAATGGTTCTATGTAGATTCATAAACACTTAATGATCCCTTTGCATGATTAAAGGGTTTCTTGCATCAAGAATTTGTTTTAAAATGGTTCTATATAGCACCCAAAAGCATTCTGCTATTGTTATGATGTCAAGCTTGTAACAATAGAACAACCCTTTTGAGTGCTATATAGAACCATTTTCAAAAGGTTTCTATATAGAACCATCTATAACACATTCATGCACATTCTTCATCAATCTGAAGAACGCTTTCATGATGCAAAGAACGCTTCAATCATGTAAAGCGTTCTTTGAGTGTTTATGGTTCTATACAGAACTATTTTCTTTACTAAAAAACATTGAAGCACCATTTTTTTAAAAGTAAATGTCGAGCTTGTAACAAAGAAAGAATCTTTTTTGGCTTTATAGAACCTTTTTTAAAAAGATTTAATGTATAGACCCATACACAACACATTCTCCATCAATCTGAAGAATTCAAGATTTCACCATGCAAATGGTTTCATATTGAACTAAATAGAACCATTCACTTCACTAAAGAATCCTTGAAGAGTGTGAGGAGAAGCAGCTCTCGATTGATTGGTCAGCTGTGATGTATCTTCTGAAGGTGCTCAACAGAACTTAGCAGGTTTTCAACTTAAAAGTTTAATGGTCTAAAGCGCGCTGTGCAGGTATAGATCACAGACCACACTGAAAACAGCAGCATGCTAGACAGTCTGAAAAGACGCCGTCTGAACAGTCTGCCAGTTATCAGCCTTGAACTGCAGCAGGAAAATCTGAAACTGTGTATTTCAGTCACCCCAACGTCACTTAACACAGTGAACACTAGATGGCGTTATTTCCCTCCAACTCTGTAGCTTTAAACTGAAATCTGTTTTTCATAATTGACAGACAGACAGAGAGAGAGAGAGAGAGAGAGGGGGGGGGCAGGGGAGAGAGCGAGAGAGAGAAACAGAGAGGAAAGGAGGGGGGAGGGGGAGAAAGAGACATAGGCAGAGCAACAAGTAAGAACAGAAATAAAAAAAGGGGAGATGAATAAGAGAGAAGGAAAGAAAAAGGGAGAGGAGAGGGAGCAAAGAAAGAAAGAAAGAAAGAAAGAAAGAAAGAAAGAAATAGAAAAAGGGTGAAGGAAAAAAGAAGGTAAGAGTGAGAGAAAGAAAGGAAGAAAGAAAGAAAGAAAGAAAGAAAGAAAGAAAGAAAGAAAGAAAGAAAGAAAAAGAAAAAGAGAGGGAAGAAAAAAGAGGGGCAAGGAGAAAAGAAAGAAAGAGTGAGGGAAGGAAGAGAAGAATGAAAGAAAGAAAGAAAGAAAGAAAGAAAGAAAGAAAGAAAGAAAGAAAGAAAGAAAGAAATGTTCCTTAATTACTTGGAATACTCTTTATGTTAACTTGCATTAAAAGTAAAGAAAAGTGTTTTTTTTTTCTTTGCTTTTTTTCCTTTTTTTCTTCTCCTGTACCGTTACTGCTGTATTTTGTTTTTATTTTATTTTATTTTATTTATTTGTTTTTGACATATGCCAAATTATATCAGTTGTATTACATAGATTTTAAATACACTTCACTGTATTACAGAGATAAAAATGGGGTATTACACACGCTATAATAGCTACATATATTACATAGGTATTACATACTATGATAGAATATTACAAATATAATGTAGGGGTTATATATGCTATGTTAGTGCACAACTTTACATAGATGTTAGATTTAAAATAGTAGTATGTTGCATACATTACACGGGTATTACACAGGCAATTTTACTATATTAAACTATGTATCACATACTATAATAAAAATATATGTTTTTTGCTGGAACACATTCAGAATATTTACAGTATTTTGGTTGAATGTTGCAGAGAAATTGTTTTTGTTTCTTTAATCTTGGTTTTCCCTCCAGATTATGCAATAACCCTGGCTTTAGTCAGCTTTACCCCCTAAAACTGACCACTTGGTACAGGCCAGCACTCTTTAACCCACATTCAGGGGAGTGTGAAAGAGAGAGAGAGAGAGACAGACAGACAGAGAGAGAGAGAGAGAGAGAGAGAGAGAGAGAGAGAGAGAGAGAGAGAGAGAGAGATAGAGAGAGATAAAGAGCGAGCAACAGCTAAGGACAGAGGATGTTTTGTATGCACTGAGATGGAAGAAGAATGAAAAGAGAGAAAGAATGAGGTAAAGAGAAGATCTGCTTTGGTCACTTTTAAACCTACAAACCTCAGCACTGTGGAAATTAACTGGAGGTGAAAGATGACCAGTGCCTCTGCAGAACCGAGGAGGGAGCTCCACTCGTAAACACATCATCATCAGCTCTTCCCACAAGGCAACATGTCAACATCAGGAGCAACAAACTACAACAAACATCTCTCATGTGAGTATTTTAGGCCTTTTTTCCAGTTTTCCCTGATTTAAGCTCCCTCAGTCCAGCTCTGCATTTTCTGTCTTTATTAATGTTGATAAAACATATCTTGATGTGTATGATTTATTAAACTGGAATTGAGTTGGATGTTCATTTTCATAGGTCAACGAGCAGGTCAACATTTGTAATTGTGTTTTCATTGTGTTCAAGTACAGTCTTAAAGCTGATTCTTCAAGGGTTCTTGAGAAAAGCCAGTGGTTCTATATAGAACTAGGAACACTCAAATAACCATTTGCATGCCTGGTTTTGCATAGTGAAAAGGTTCTTCAGACTGGAGAATGTGTTGTATGTGGTTCTATATAGCACCAAAAATAGTTTTGCTCTTGTTATGATGTTAACCTTGCAGCAATATTTGAACCCTTTTTTGGTGCCATACAGGACCATTTTCAAAGCATTTCCAGAAGAGCAGAGCTCAAGTTCTTGATGTTATACTGTTCAGGTTGGTAGCTGATGGAGATGAGATGACTGTGTTTGTTTACAGAGAGCTGTAAAGAACAACATGAGATAAGACTGGAGAGGAGAACATTACATCATCAGACTAATCACCTGTGTACTTCAGCAGAGACAGAGCAGCAAGGGCAGAGAGAGAGAGGGAGAGAGGGAGAGAGAGATGGGGAGAGCTGAGAGGGCAGGGAGAGGGAGAGAGGGAGAGAGAGTTCCACTGGTCTTTCTGATGGTCTTGGACAATGAATGAAAAGTGAACATCACAGGACTTTATCTGGACTTAGATCCTCCTATGCTATGTAACATATTGAGCAGCAAGATTTCTCCCTTTTCAGTCTCTGGTGAGGGTTTCAGAATCGTGCCATGGTGTTTAGAGCCTTCAGGTCTTGGACATCTCACTGGCGTAGATCAATGTGGGTATCAAAATGAAGGTGAGATGGATATCGAGGACAAGATGTTGTTCATCCTCCAATAGATGTCTGCTGCCGCCTTGCTGATGCGGCACTTGTTCTGGTTGCTACCTCAGTGACTTCTTCGCTCATATCTGCCTGACTATCTGCTAATATGTCACAGTATGTTACTTCCTGTTGATCCTGTGTTGCACAGTGTTCACTCAACAAAACAAACCCAGGTTTCCTTTAGAAGTTGTACCGTTACTCCATAAAGCACATTTAGACAGTTAGCCAGATAACTTAAAGTTAAACATGGAGTGGAGAAACTTTCAAGATCACAATGGCCACAAGATTTTATATTTTACTGCTGAGTCCTGCTCCCTTAAATTTAAGGAGATAATCACTTTTTTTAGTGTTTCTCCTTATAAACGCAGCATTGTTGAAGAACATTTTGCCACTCAGTCTGACTGATTGCAAAACTGTATTTGATAAATACATTTGAATATATACATATTTTCCATATGGGGTGTTAAGTGTGATTACATTTTAAGTATTTGTGCAGTTTGTAGGTGAAATGTCCACCAGAAATGTCAAGGCACCTTCTTTATGTGTACTGTATCCAGAAATCTCAAACACAACGCATGTTCGGGGATGTTTGGAGCTGCACAGACAAGATACAGAAATGGCCGTACACATCCCGGACACTGAAATTTCATGGGAATGGTGCAGGTCAATGAATTCCTAGAATCATCAGTTTTCATGCAGTGACAGGCTGAGTTTTGTCTCTTTGTCCATTGGTGTGGTATAATCTTATAATGCTAATTGTTGGGGTATAAACTCTTCACATTAGCCTTGTAGGTCCAGGGCTCAAACTAAAGAAGCAAATTTTAGACACCAAACATGTCCTGGCTGAACCTCTGCATTTGTGGGAAGGGGAAGGGGGGGGCTTGATTTTCCACTGAATTACCACTCAAAATCCAAAGCATCCAGTTTCCTAGTTAGTGATTCCAGTGTAAGAGCGTTGGATTTGCCTCAGCTTGTCTGATTTCCTTTTAACCTGTTTCTGCTGTGAGGCTCCAACTGCTGTAAATCTCTGTGCTGTTGATGCAGTGATGATAATCCTGAACTGAGTGGCAGCCAAAGGCAACAACATTAAAAATGAAACCACTTAACAGCATAAAGGTTACTTTCATGTGGTTCTAGTATGCTGTGCTCGATACACTGCTGCTTAACCCCAGTGAAAAGACCATTTAATTCTGTAGAACTTTTAAAAATTTAAAAAAATTAAAAAGAGTTTTCCTTTAAGTAGATCAATAGTATACTCAAAGTGTATAGAGGTACACAAACTTGATGCATTTGTTCAACAGAGTTGATCACTGTAATGATCTTCTTACTGGAGAAAACAATAGATCCTTTTCACAAAACATGGAAGTGTGTAAACACTGGATAAAGCAAGTTCTGCTTTTGCCTTATGGATGGTTACTAACCTCAGAAATAAAGGTGTTTGTATCACTTCAGTTCACCACAGAGAGGTGTCTCACTTTATCTTTGTCAATACTGTTTCTGAAACATCCGAATGCCATACATAGTGATACAAACCAATCCTGTGATTTTTACAGTAACAATTGGTAAAACTACATCTACCATCAAAAGTAATGAAGAAACAGTTATTTTTTAAATCAACCTTACCATCAAACTGTTCAATATATTCACTAGTAGATAAGTTGAATTTTCATAAAAAACAATACTATATAGCAGTGATAATTTGTCTAGAAAGAGAGATTTTTTAAATAACACTGTGTCACTGCTAAATCAAAACTGTCATTGTTGAAATGACTCTCCAATTTCAGCTTTGTTTAGCTTAAAATGTATATTTCTGCCAAACACAGCTGCCAGTATTTTACAATAAAGTGGCTGCATTTATAGAAAAAATGCTGTTATATAGGGTACATCAATACACTTTTTATACAGTATATCTCTGGCAACCGCTGCTGCCAGTGTTTTACTGTAAATTTCTCAGAAAAAATATGCTTAGTATACAGCAGTACTGCATCTTTATTAGTAAAAGTAAAAAAATCTTGGCCATTTTATTAACAGCAAAAAATCTCTACTTCAAATAAACAAATGTCATTTACTGTAAAATATACAGGCAGGGAAAAATTCACTGTATTGCTGCAATAAACATTGCTGTCATATTATTACAATACATTTCTGGCAACCACAGCTGCCAGATTTTTACCGTATATTTTAACAGATTGGTTTTTTTTTTACAGTGTACCATAACTTTTAAAATGAGATACATATACATGCAAACCCTGTGATTTATTAACCATGTTGAATCTTTATTTAACTGATAAAAGTACAAAGAAATTATTTTTGATGTTTTGGCAAGACCAAATTGATTGTTTTTTGTAAATATAAACAAATTTTGAATAATAAAAAAAGTTGGGACAGGGCAAAATAAGAGTGAGAAGTATTCAATCCAATAAGAATATTCAAATAAATCCTGCAATAATATTCCAGATTGATCACTTATATTCATAACTTCACTAACCAGTTTCACACAATCAGACATTTCCATTCATGTAATCAGCACTGAGCCTATACGGCCTGTTGTGGTCAGCTTAAAGTGTGTTTCCAGGAAAGGTAGACGTAATAGGATGATAAGTTCAGACCTGGGGTTAAGAGCCTGAGCTAAAACAGCTAACGGCTCTCCACTAGTCTGGCTCAGGTTTCAGTTCATGAGGCTAATCAATAGAGCGCAGTCACATAGAGCAAAGCTTAAATCTGATTAGCTGAAAGCAGCTTTCAGCATCAGTGAGTGAAGGTTGACGTTTGGTTCACACAAAGCTTTATTAAAAAGCTGATATTTCCAGTTTGATAAATTTACCACTTCTTCACAGCACTGTCCTGCACACACACTCAAAAATGTCTTTTAAATGTGAAAATATGAACAAAAACACTCATTTTGTGGCTGCTAGCATAGTATTAGCTACTTAGCTAGCTTATGTTGCCTTTTGTCAGACTCTCTACAAAGCAATAAGTCTAAAACTAACAATAAGCACATTAACATACCATCCTAGTTTACATTCTGGTGCTCTTATATGTGATTTTAAAGTGCTGGGCAACTTCATCTTCATCTGGAAGAGTAAAGAATTTGCTAAATTGTTGTTAGCTACAGCTGCAAGTGTGGCCACTAACATAAATGCTAATAGCATTCATTTCTTACAGCTTATAGCTTACATTAAACTCTCTGCAAGGTAATAATTCTAAAAGTAGGAATCAACACATCAACACACCATCTTAGTTTATATTCCAGTACTCTTACTAGTGATGCAATAACACTCGGCAACTTCATCTTCATCGGGAAAACTAAAGAATTTAATGAATTGCCATAAGTATTAGCAAACACAGAGGATCCTCAGTGGGGTTAATACTGCTTATATCAGCTCTACCTGCTTTAGAAAGCTGGAAAATGAGAAAAGTTCATTACATATATGGGTACATTTGACATTTCAGCCTCAAACACAGTGAGAATTTATCATTTAAGTTCACAGATCCAAAAGGCCTCAATCTTATCATATTTTTATCCTGATCTCGTCCTCTTATTTGGAACAAAACTTCTCAATGCTCATCATATTTTGGATTTTTCTTTGTTGAGTATGAAAACATGAACAAAAACACTTGCTCGCGGCCACGGACAGGCTCTGGCAAAAGTTTATAACGTTCAACATGACGGGAGCAGAAACTGGTCTGCAGAGGAGACGGAGTTTATGCTTTGATCTTTAAAAGACAGCAGTGGGACGGACGTCTTCCTCTCTCGACCTTCTTTAATAAGTGCATGTGAAGGATGTTTTCCTGAGTCTGACATCATTTTGAAGTAATTAAAAACTCCAGCGCGCCAACTAGAAACTCATCTCACTCGGACTGGACCTCACGTGATGATCGCTGTCATGGTAACGTTTACACTAAGTGGTACTCCACGCATGCACAATATTTTGGATCAGATTACTTGTAGTGCGCATGTAAATGAAGATTTTCCATCAGATTGTTGAGTAGAGTGAGCATATAAACACCTCAGGCTGAATCTGTAATCGGAATGTATTCATTTGCATTGGCAAAAATCTTCGCATGTAAACATAGCTAATATGTCTAAATGTAGACTGCACATCTAATCTTAATGTTCCATGTGTCAAATTTGATGTTTCTATATCTGTTTCTCTATCATTGTGATAATCCAGAAATACAGTTCAAACATTTCCAGAATCTGTAAAGTCGCCCTTTTCATTTCATCTTATCATGATGTCGTACGTGACTCACATCCAGAGTTATGAGGCTATGAAGAGAGGCTGAGATACAAATCATCTGCCTCTCACCGTGTGGAACTGGTGGATTCGTCTGTCCACCTACATTTTGTGTGAATCTGATCAATGGACACTCAGGAGATCACTAAGGACTGACCCATCACGCCAGTCCACAATGGAGACACGTGTGAAATGGCGTGCAGAGAGTTTACAGCTGCTGAAGTTGTTGCAGCGGTTTTGGAAAGTAGTGATGAAGATAATGGAGCATTTAGATATGAAACATATGAGTATCATGTTATATGAAGAGCCTTTAAAGGAGCATTTAAGAAGATATGAACAAGTCAAGAAAACGACCTCAGAGCACAGAGGGTTTAAACGCTGCTATGGAACCCCTATTCAGGTATACTGTTTTGCAGTCCTGTGTTTTAGTTGTGTATATTTACTCTTCTGTTCATTTATTGTCTTGAGTATTGATGGTTCTGAACATCCATGGCTGTACAATATGAATCTTCAGGCTAGCTGCTTTCCTCACCATTGATTCATACATATAACAATGGCTACATTAACAAAACAAGGTTTCATTTGCTAGAAATAACTGTTAAACCTCTTTAAATATTTTTCTAAACTTGCCTGTTTGCTTGAACTAGACACCTGCCATCTTCTCTTTTTGTGGTGTAACAGCTGTTCCATAGATTGTTGTTGGGAGAGTCGAAGCGCACATTACGTTGCAGTGCA